ACAATTCTGTTATGTTGATAGAGGCAATCACAAAAGCTACAATAATGCTCAATGCAGCAGAAAAACAGTGCACAGAGCAGACAGCAATGTTGAAGGAGAAGAGGGAACAGGGAAGAAGAAAATGGGCTTAACATTATTTTGGCAGATACTTTCACTGAAATGAGACTACCTGCAAAAAGAAGGTCAGCAATTGTACCCGTCCAAGAATTGCTCAGCCTTACTGTAAAGAAATCCATGCAACAAATAATTTTATGTTATAAATAACCTGACCCTTATAAACTACAGGACTCCAGCATAAAGACAATGTGGAATGACATGTACTGCCTTTAATATCACAATCCTTAACTGGTGGAAAACAAAAATATTGCAGATTGTTTCACTGGCTGCATTTATTGATTTATCAAAAAAACCTATAAGCTGCTCGCAGTCTCTGCTCTACATTAAACAGTCTAAATAAAGAATTGAAAAAGATGCCTTGAATTCTGCCTGAAGGCTTACTGAAAGCCAAGTCAGGTTGTCAGAGACCTGAAATTAAGCACTACTGAATAAAAACCTTGAAGCATCCTGAATTCACTTCAGCTTGTGAAGATTCAGCATGGCAAGGACATTACATCATTGCGATTTTAAGAAAACATTTGAGAAATAACTGGATTAAGTTCTACTTAGGAGGCAAAAAAACAACAAAAAAAAACCCCACAAAGGTTCATTTTGTCTTGGTAGGTAAACATTCAAGGAAAAAAAACCCCTGAAAACAGCCCACCAGGCACAAATTGCCATTTGGTGACCATAGAGCAGCCTGGGACCAGGCACGAGAAAAACATCCATTTCCCAAATTTTAACAGGTAACCCTGAAAACAGCCCACCAGGCACGAATTGCCATTTGCTGACCATAGAGCAGTCCAGGACCAGGCACAAGAAAGACATCCATTTCCCAAATTTTAACAGGTATTCCCCTCAACATGAAATACTGATCTAGGTACTGGCTGCTTTTTTTGCCTATTTCCAGCTTGTAAGTGTTATTTCACTTGTCTGGATCACTGGGAAGATTACATCCAAACATCAAGCTGACCTGAATAGTGGGCAACTCGTTCTACTGCTCCAGTTGGGCTAAATGTTACTGAGGCATGTACAGCAGGGTACCATCAGCATATTCAGCACTCTGCAGGAAACCTTGTCCAGTTTAAACTGCCAATAGTGTAGCAATACCATCCTTTATGCTTAGAGATGTTAAAAAAAATGTGACAGGAGCTATTCTTACTTTCAGGATGATTTTCACAGTAGGTGAAATTCAAACCTCTGCAGACAGCCAATACAAAAGTTATGCACTACTTACAACTCTATTTTTGATGCTTTCAGTATGACTTAAATGGTCAAAGGTCTTGTACTAGTTCTCTGCACAGCACTGATATCACCAAACACTTGCCACTAGTTCCATTAAGAAAAGTGCAGCTAGGCCTTGAGGCAATGAGTGTATAGCTTATGTATATATGAGTGTATATGCACCCAAACCACCTCATGCAACACTAAATGGCAGTCAAAATGTCAAGCAAGATCTATATTTGTGTGGGTTTTTAAAGAAAAAAAATACCGGTAAGCAGCATATTTCATGACACAAATTCACATTCTAAGACATCACCAGTTTTAGATTTCTCAACTGAGCCAAATTTGACAAGTGATAGCAGTTATCTGAAGTACTTACTTGTACTGATATTGTCAGACTTGCTGCTTTTGGGAGCTGGCCTCTCACACTGTGTGCCTGACCAGTTGGCTGAACATCTAAAAGGATCCAATTAAGACAGTAAAGTTAATAGATGTCAGCTATTAACACAGTAACCTATTAAAGAGACCACCAGCATCTTCTCAAGAGCTACATGAATGACAACAGTGGTTCTACACAATCAACAAGAAGCCTCATGGAAGGAGTCAGCAGTACTCTGCTATGGCACTTACAACATTCTGAGTACTTTTTTAGTTTAAAACTACAGCTTTGTATCTTCATTTCCTGTTATTATTATTCCTGCAGTCTTCATTCCAGAATCCTTTTCTAAAATTCTTGACTAAAAGAACAACAGGCTTAATCAGTGGGATAGCAACATCCTATCTTTTAAAATGTTGAACTCTATAATAAATATGTATTTGCAGAAATATATACATGTGTTTGTGTGTGTGTGCTCAAGCAGCTGTGAGAGTTAAAGCATGAAGGGTTGTCCTAAAGGGACAGGAGTATCTCCTGGCTGCAGAAAGCCCTGAATACTGTTTCTGTTCAGGATATGTGCTCCAGGAGCCAGGTGCCTGGATGAGTACACAGCTATTCTGCTGTAATTTCCTTGTGTGAATATCAATATGCAAATATACCTTCAACTGGGATTCAGAATGCTCCCATGCACAGAAGCAAACACAAGGAGTCCATGGATGCAGACTCAGCAAATCCATCAAAAATGGAAACAAACACCTGACTGAAATTCAATGCTTATTCATCCTGCTGTAAATATGATTAAGTTTACTAGAGAACCTCAAACCCTTCTTGAGGAAACGGCAGGAAGTAGTCACTTTTCATCTGCCTCCATTGCATATTGTGCAATGAATCAAGTTTTTTCTAAGTATTTTTGAATTATTTATGAGTTTCAACATGAGTTATCTTTAGGGAAGTGCAACAGAGCACTACCTTCACACAGTTCTAAGAATGACTGTTATCCGATGTATTTCTAAGCAGGTAAGAAATTTCAGAGTTTAGAGGTGGTCATGCTTAACAACTGATATTGTTCCATAATTTAGAAAAAGTTTGGAAAGGTACAAAATATACCCTCAGCAAGTTCACTGATGACACCAAGCTGTGTGGGGCAGTCACAGCTGGAGGGAAGGGATGTGCCATTCAGAGAGACCTTGACAGGCTTGAGAGGTGGAACAATGCAAACCTCATGGAATTCAACAAAATGAAGTGCAAGGTCCTACATCTGGGCCATGGCAATCCCAGGCACAGCTACAGGTTGGGTGGGCAAGGAATTGAAACCAGCAATGAGGAGAATGATTTGGGCATAATGGTAGATGAGAAGCTCAGCATGAGTTGCAGTGTGAGCTCAGCCCAGAAACCAAACAAATTCTGAGATGCACCCAAAGGAGTGTGGGCAGCAGGTCAAAAGAGGTGATCCTTCCCCTCTACTCTGCCCTCGTGTGACCCCACCTGGAATCCTGCACACAGTTCTGGTGTCCTCAACATAAGGAGGACATGGAAATGTTTGAACAAGTCCAGAGGAGGCCACAGAGTTGCTAAGAGCACTGGAGCATCTCCCTGTGAGGACAGGCTGAGGGAGTTGGGGCTGTTCAGCCTGGAGAAGAGAAGGTTGTGTGGAGAACTCAGAGCAACTTTTCGGTATCTGAAGGGCCTACAAGGAGATGGAGAGGGACTCTGTGTTAGGAACTGCAGTGATAGGACAAGGGGCAATGGGTTCAAACTGAAGGAGGGGAAGTCTAGGTTAGATGTTAGAAAAATGTTTTTTACTTTGAGGGTGGTGAATCACTGGAACAGGCTGTGCAGGGAGGTAGTGGATACCCCAACCCTGGAAGTGTTCAAGGCCAGGCTGGATGAGCCTTGAGCAACCTTGTCTGGTGGGGAGGGGTCCCTGGCCATGGCAGGGGGGGTTGGGACTAGATGATCTGTGAGGTCCATTCCAACCCCTAAAATTCTATGATTCTGTGATTCTATGATTGTGCAATTATTACAGAAGAGCCCTAACCAGTATTCACAGGACCACACACAATCATTTAGGCTGGAAAAGACTTCCAAGATCATCTAGTCCAACCTTTGACTGATCATCACCTTGTCAACTAGATCAGAGCACAAAGTGCTACCATTAGTCATTTCACGAACACCTCCAGGGATGGTGACCCTACCACCTCGCTGGGCAGACCCTTCCAATGCTTAACAACCCTTTGTGTGAAGAAATTCTTCCTAATGTCTAACCTGAACCTCCCCTGGTGCAGCTTGAGGCTAATGAGCTCTGCTGGTGATGCTTTTGACTTTCTCTTGCCTTTGCAGATCACTGCAGAAGAATGTCTAGTTTCTCTCTTTGCTCCTAAGCCTATTTCAGCACAACCCAATATTCAGATAAATCTCTTTACTGGATTTCGTGTTAAGCTTTAACATATTTTTTGAAACTAATGTTATTTTTAGTAGGAACCATTATGAAGCTGCTTAACTTCTACAGAGGGAAGGCAGAGATGGTTTTTGAAAACATTATTGATTTATTTCTATATACTGATAGTTTATTATTTCTAGCTGATTCAGGAAGTTGTCACACAATAGTTAAATCGCATTATAATTAAGAAACTCTTCATGGTTATCTAAATAAGTTTGTTTACTTAAATAAATATGGCAAATTCACACTTAAATTTCCTCACTGCAAAGGAACACCAAATTACTAACTAATCACACACATTACGATTCACAACAATATATTTTATAACTGAACCCAACTGACTTTTCCACCTGCTTACCACCACTTTAGCACATCCTAAATCACAGGGAACACACGACTTTAATCTTTCAAAAGATGCATCTGTTCCCTTTTTTTTTTGTTTCAGATCTCTTTTCAGCAATTATATAAGCTAGAAATGCCTGCACTGACAGCTTACCTTACTAAGACATTATTCAAGGAACTTGTTTTTTAAAAATATAAAAAATTTTAATCTACATATATATATGGCCACAAAGTAAGTATCTCCATTCTTTTAGAGAAACACTACCTATCTATATTTAGGATAGCCTACTGGACCTCAAGCTGTTGGCATGTGACAACCATGAAATAAAGACTTTATATTTCTTACTGGGAGTTTGGCATCATTGTTGCTGGGGATTCACCTCATGTGATTAAAGCTTGCTATGACAGGCAGTTTGCACTTAATACTACACTACTGAAAGGGAAAGATTTATTTGTTGCTTGCACTTAATACTGCACTACTGAAAGGGAAAGATTTATTTGTGAGTTAGACACGTCTTAGCTTTGTACCTAAATCCTTATATTGAAGGTTTCAAATACTTTCATTGTATATAAGAATCATTACGATAAATCTGTCTTAAAATGTTTGAAGCATGTTAAGACAGTGAGACTAGCAAAGGAATCACCATGAGACATGCAAGTATAAGCTCATGAGAAAATAGTGTATAATGTACAATTATGCTCTCTAAAAATCTCATAGCAGACGTGACACCACAACAGCTGGTGAAGAAAGAAATCCTACAGCTATATATGTAGTAAAGAGGAACAAATTAAGGCAAAAATGTTATCAGTTCTTTACCTATCTTGACATTCTAATTGTAAAAATATCAAAACACAGCTGAGGCATTTGAGAGAAGTCTTATAAAAACATGATCATTAGTTGCCATTTCCTTTTACTTTTTTCCACATGCTTTCTGTCTCCAGCAAATTTCAAAGAGGCTGAAGCTGGCAGGATTGCAGTCATTTCCTTCTAAACTTTGAGGTGAAATGATTGCCCTTTGATGGTCCAGCAAGCTAGTACAGACTTGTCTTGGGCAGACAGAATAGCAAAAGAAATAAAGCCCTGGGGAAAGGTATGTTTTCTGCAAGGAAATATGACACAGAAAATTAGCCATGAGCAGACACATGAATAATGATGGGGTTGGGACAATTGTTCATGGGAAATGAGCAGGTCTTAACCAGTTTCAATTGTCTTCAGAGAGAAATTGTTCTTTATAATAACATTTTTTGGTATTAGGACATTTAAATTCAGACTGCTCAGTACCTAGCATGGGAACTGACTCCTGGTTCAATTTGATGCACAGTAGTTTGTACCTTTCCAAATCATTTGGTACCAGGAGCTTTTTGTTCTGTCCCACTGCCAACAGCTGTATGGTCAGAGAGGACATTTGCTGTACTGGCAAACAAAAAGGCACTAATGAAGCCACTGGTTTCATTGAAGACATTCATATTATCAGAAACTGGGAAGAAAGAACAGTGAAAGTTTCTAATCTGAGCTGCACATAAAGAAATATGGATGGAAACAGATGGGGAACTTGACAGTGAAGGACAGGTTGGAGTCAGCTGCATGGTGCAAGATGCTATAGTGAACATCTTAAGGTGCAAGTCTCCAGTTCCCAACAGAATCAGTGAAAGATCAAAGAGCAGCAATAGCACAGAGAATGCCAATATGAAAACTGAAAGTGAATGTAATAAATGAAGGTTGTACACGGTCTGCTGCCAAGGTCATTAATAAAACTGTGTCACAGCTCTCTCTGTTACAATTTAGTTCTACATTTAGAAAGACCTTCTGAGACACAGGAAGCCTGTGTGATTGGAATTATTTATTTGGGGGAAATTGTATTACAGAGAGAGATGTTTTAAAACACTCGAGATTGCAAAGGTGTCTCACTTGTAATGAGAAATATTTAGGATGAAGATATTTACATCTCAGAGATTGATCATGCTGTTGTGACAGAATCTATTCATGAGAGAAAATGTATCTCCCCTCTGTTTCTGTATAACCCTTACAGGTCAGTTCACTCAAACACTCTAAACTCAATTATATGGGCACTTGACCAAAAGGAACCATTTGACTATGAAATGCCTGAAAAAAACCAGAAAAAAAACTAGTAAAGAGGCCAGTTTGGTGGCAGTGTACAATTTTTTCAACATTTTGTTTCTCTTTTTCCTCCCCTTTTTTGTTGTGCCACAGGCATTGTCATAAAAATATAATAGAGCAGGCATAATATGCAGTTAGAAGTGCTTTTTTAGACAACGGCTTTCCAACTCAATATACCA